CCCTCACCCCCCCCCCCAACCACTCGCTGCCTCTAATAAGCAGGCAGCTTTGCAGGAGCCAGCATATATGGAGAGCTGTCTTAGAAGTCAGCTCCTTGCCTTATTGGCTCCTGCTATTCTCCACTGCCCCGCTGCCTCTGATGGTGGGGAGGGGAAAGGAGGGAAGGAGTGTGTATCATTGATAGGATTAACCAATAAAACCAGTCTTATTGGTTAATCATGTAATTGATGACTACATGGAGCTTTGTCAGCCAGGATTCAATAGAGGAAATAAGCTCAGGGGAGCAAGCAGGCCGGCAAAAACAAAGGTAATTAACTTATCAGGAGGTATGTAGGTAGGAGCTGGCTGTGAGAGCGATGTGCATGGGAACCACTGGATGCATTTCTGGGCCCAGGATTGGGCTCAAATTTTCTGCTTTCTCCACCTCTCCTGCGCAGAACTGCATTTAAATGCATTGTACTCTGAGCCCACCTCAGAATGCCAATAAGCTCACTTTCTCACTCCAGACTATCATCACTGCTCATTTTATTGCAGGCTTAGTCCTTGTCCTCACAGGATAGAAAAAGCATGCACTTTACCTTGAGGTAACCAAAATGCATGAGCTATCCCAATGTAAGAGTCACAGTGAAGCCAAGGAACTTCGGTTTTTCCGTACATTAAACTAGGTGGAGTCAGAATAATACCCACATCTGGAGTTATTCATCAAGTTTACCTCATGGTAAAATTATAGTACTGTGTCTTCACTTTGTTTTTACCTTGAGATAGCTAACACACATGTTAAAAATCCCAAGATAAAAGGCAGACCTATTTTTAGCAATAAGGATAATGCATTAGAGAAGTTTCTCCTGCATGCAGAAGCCTCTCTGTGATGATGGTGAAGTTATTATAAGGGTATTGTATGACAGAATGGTCAGGATTTTCAGTTCTGGATTTTTAATGGTAAGCTTCTAAATCCATATAGCTACATCTATTCAGTGTGATTTTCTGAGGTGCTATGTTCTTACAGCTATTGATTAACATCAATGTGATTCTTAGGCACTCAGCACCTTTGAAAGTCAGGCAATTTCTATAGGCTTCGGACTTCGGATTAGGAGCCAAAATTCATGAACCCAAGTTTGAATGTTGTAGTTCAACTTCATAGACTGTAAGTTACTTTCAGGAGCAGAAACTTTGAATTGACTTTTACAGAGAACCTTGCTGAAGTAGTATTCAGTTTATCACTTGCAAGACACACAGTAAAGCAAAAATTTTTTAGCTGTATAGGCTGTAATAAACCATGTATTGCTTGTATTAAAAGCCATTTTTCAAGGTGGATAGTGTCAATTTTATTTCTGCCAGCATTCTACTGCATTACAAGTACATGGGTGTATTGAATTATTTTATGAAACGCCTAATTTTCAAGAGAAAAGCTTTATAAGTCAATTGATCTAGAGGTTTTAAAAAATAAATCCCCATACTCAGCACTGAACTTCATTCAAGTACAGTTCACATAGATTGGCCCTTAAAAATGACTTTCTATAACTATCTATTTGTAGCCTTGCTATAAGGAAACAAAAGTTAAAAAAAAAATAGAAAGCTCTTCCTAACCCTGGAGAGTATTTATCCTCTTAAAGGATAAATCTATTGCTTCAAGGCAGGGGGAAAAGTGCTCCATGTAGTAATCTGTAAATCACTTGAAACCAATTTAAATATCTTTATTTGCTACAAAGAAATAGATTTAATCGATACAACTCCATGTCTAAATTGATTACTCATGCAGGGATACAGAGCAAATGTAATAAAATTAAGAGACTATGTTCTTCTCAGACATTTACTCTCCATTTTGTCTTAAAAGTGCAGAAACGACTGCATAATCAATCAAAACAGACTAGACTTGTGCATTTAACTAATTAAGGCAACAAAGAAATTAGAAGACTTACACTATTTGCAGTGAAAAAGACAGCATGCCAATAACAAGACAAACATTACTGGGGAGAGGTTCTAGAGTTAAAAAAGACTGCATGTTGCCAGCCTGAATGGGATTAATAAATTAACAAATCTAAGGTCACATTATACAATCAGCAGATACAAAGTTAAGGGCACATGTAAGCAAGTTTCTATACCTAAAAGGTATACCAAATAAGAGACATTTTCCAACAAAATGCATATTTGGGAAAAGATTACTTAGGTTAATGGCAGCACAAGGAAATTTAATTCAAAGTTAACTAAGTTATATAATAAATTTATCACGTGAGGATTCTCTCCTCATGACAAAAGAAAAAAAATGTTAATATAATTTTTAGTTTTCAATTTATATTCCTGGACAGTCCTAGAAAGACAAGTCCCAGCAATGTTTCTAACTTAACATGCATATGAAGTGATAATTTCCTGCCCCCAACTTCCCTGTTTTTGAGTATTCAATATTATTCAAATGCCTATATTTCTTTTTCCAGGTGCACAAATAAAGTTTATAATGAAAATACTACATTAAATATAGCAAAATTAGCAGGAATTGCCATAATAAAATATGAAAGAAAGTTTAGCTCTAGCCATCCCTTTTCCAAGGAAGTATACTCCCAGTTCTTTGAGTTTACAGGCAGTCCCCGGGTTACGTACAAGATAGGGACTGTAGGTTTGTTCTTAAGTTGAATCTGTATGTAAGTCGGAACTGGCGTCCAGATTCAGACACTGCTGAAACTGACCGCCAGTTCTGACTTACATACAGAATCAACTTAAGAACCCCAGGCGTCCCCAAGTCAGCTGCTGCTGAAACTGATCAGCAGCTGATTCCAGGAAGCCCGGGGCAGAGCAACTACAAGATAGGGACTGTAGGTTTGTTCTTAAGTTGAATCTGTATGTAAGTCGGAACTGGCGTCCAGATTCAGACACTGCTGAAACTGACCGCCAGTTCTGACTTACATACAGAATCAACTTAAGAACCCCAGGCGTCCCCAAGTCAGCTGCTGCTGAAACTGATCAGCAGCTGATTCCAGGAAGCCCGGGGCAGAGCAACTCTGCCTGGGGCTTCCTGTAGTCAGCGCTGG